AGGCAGGTGGATCATGAGGTCAAGAGATCGAGACCATCCTGGTCGAAATGGTGAAACCCTGTCTCTACTAAAGATACAAAAAATTAGCTGGGCATGGTGGCATGTGCCTGTAATCCCAGCTACTTGGGAGGCTGAGGCAGGAGAATTGCCTGAACCCAGGAGGCGAAGGTTGCAGTGAGCCGAGATCGCGCCATTGCACTCCAGCCTGGGTAACAAGAGCGAAACTCCATCCCATGTGTGCAAAGGCACAAATATAAGGATAGTCGTTGCAACATATTTGTAGTGTCCAGCAACAACTTAAATGAGACATAACTTAAATATCAGAAGCAGAGCAGACAGCTTTAGATGCCCACACAGAGCAGTATGCAGACAGGAGATGGGACACATCCCTCTGTACAGATCCCAAGTGAGCTCCAACAAACGTTGCTAAGAGAAACGGCAAAGAGAATAGCGTGTGTTGTGTATGTGGAGATGCACATGTGTGCGTGTAAGTGCGTAGACTATCTCTGCGTAGTAACATGAGACACTGATAGTGCCTTCCTCTAGGAACCAGAACCAGGCCATGGGAGTCAGAGATAGGAGAAAGACCTCATTTTCAATCTCCTTAATTTCCCCCTCCTTAAAACAAAACTATATGAATGTATAATCTGATTAAAGTCAAAACAATTTAGAAATCTCTTGGTGTTGCTAAATGCAATCTCATCAGCCTTTGCGTCGGGATCACAATCTGTACCTCCAACCTTGAAGGGTTGTCCTGAGAATCATCAGCCACTCAGCATGTGAAGGAGCTGCTGAGTCTTAGGGACTGGGAATCAAGTTCATGGAGGATGGGCAACTTCTTTGCCAAATAGAGAAAGCAATGGGAGAAATCCAGCTACAGAAACTGTGGCAATTCTAAAGCAGATGCCCCCCAATTATAGTAACAATAACTAAACACTACTGTTGAGTGCTCTTTCTAAAATATATTATCTCTTTTAATTCTTATAGCAGTCCAGGAGCAAAGGCAATTATTCTCTATTGCTCCTACGTGGGAACTCAAGGCTTAGATAGTTCAGCACCTTGCTAAAGATCACTCATCCAGGAAATATGATGGATCTGGAAGGTGAACCCAGGTTGTCACCCAGAGCTTGAGCCTCATGTAATTTGCTGGCCAAGGGCCCTGCCGTGGCTCTCCAGGAATCCCTGAAATGGTCAGCATGGAATCCTTGGGTGCCACCTGTCTTAGTTCGCCTGTGTTGCTATGGAAGATCACCTCAGGCTGGGAAATTTATAAAGAGAAGAAGTTCATTTGGCTCATGCTTCTTCAGGCTATACAAGAAGAGTGGCATCAGTGTCTGTCTCTGGTGAGGCCTCAGGAAGCCCGGGCTTGTGGGAGAAGGTGAAGGGGGCAGAGGAAGTTGCCAGATTCTTAACAATCAGTTCTCACAGGAACTAACAGAGAAAGAATTCACTCATTACCACAAGCATCAAGCCATTGATGAGGGATCCACCCCCAGGACCCTGGACACCTCCCATCAGAGCCCAGCTCTAACACTAGGGATCAAATTTCAGCATGAGATTTAGAGGAGACCTGCTGGGATGTGGCCTTTGTGGCCTGGCTTGCTTAGGAGGCCCTGGCAGCACAGCCTCTTGCAGCTGTCCTCAGCAACCTTGTGTGGGCCGGTCAGGCGTTTGCTGCACCCCCATGATTCTCCGGGAGAGCACAGGCCTCCCCCTGGACTGGGCATCAGAGGAGTGTGCAGTGTGGGGGGAGGGACCGTAGAAGAGCTGGGGGTAACAGGAAGAGGCTGCTGGCTGCACATGTACTGCCTTTCCTAGCTGGTCCAAGGCAGAACTGGACAGGGGACTGGCCCACTGATACGGTTTGGGTGTTTGTCCCCTCCAAATGTCATGTGGAAATGCGATTCTTCCTGATGAAGGGGAAGCTGGTAGGAGGTGATTGGATCATTGGGGCAGATCCTTCAGAAACGGTTTAGCACCATTCCCTGGGTGCTAGTGTAGCAGGAGTGGCCGCGGAAATGGATCTCCCGAACACCAAATACAGGAAGAAAGAGTTTATTCAGCCGGGAGCCTGAGTATAATTTGTCCGAAGCTCAGCTCCTCTAACAAAGGAAGCTTCTGCTTTTACATAGGCTTATACTTCAGATATTACACGTGGAAGAATCTTAGGTTTAAGAAATCACATGTGAAAAGGTCTCTGTTTACAGTTTCAGGAATCACATAAGAAAGGGTTCCGGTTTACAGTTTTAGGACTCACCTGTGAAAAGGTTTCTAGTGTGACCTTGTTTTACATAAAAATAGTGCCTTCTGGAGCTTTTCCCCAAGACCCAGCCTGCCACCTACAGGAAGGTGAAACCAGAGGCACCAGTTGGTCAGCCTCTTCTTCTACTGAAATGCAGTGTTGGCCCGGCGCGGTGGCTCACGCCTGTAATCCCAGCACTTTGGGAGGCTGAGGCCGGTGGATCACGAGGTCAAGAGATCGAGACCATCTTGGTCAACATGGTGAAACCCCGTCTCTACTAAAAATACAAAAACTTAGCTGGGCATGGTGGCGCGTGCCTGTAATCCCAGCTACTCAGGAGGCTGAGGCAGGAGAATTGCCTGAACCCAGGAGGTGGAGGTTTCGGTGAGCCGAGATTGCGCCATTGCACTCCAGCCTGGGTAACAAGAGCGAAACTCTGTCTCACCAAAAAAAAAAAAAAAAAAAAAAAAAAAAAAGAAATGCAGTGTGATAGTTAAGGGGAAGTTGCTCTCAGATGCCTGGGTCTCCCTTTTAACTAGGTGGGTCCTTGCTCAGTTAGTTCAGATGAGATCTGGTTGTTTAAGTGCAAGGCACCTCCCCCACGCTTTTGCTTTTGCCCTGACCTGAGATTTGGAGGGGACAAACATCCAACTCCTATCACTGAGATGGTGCCCTGTCCAGTCCTGCCTAGGGCCATAGAGGAGAGGTAGCAAGTGTCGAGAGGCAGAGGCGCTGGCTCCCCTTTACCTTCCACAGTGACTGTGACTTGCCTGGGACCCCCACCAGAAGCACATGTTGGCTCTGCACTTCCTGTACAGCCTTCAGAACCCAGCACATTTTAAATAGCCTTTCTTTATAAATTACCTGGCCTTAAGTATTTCTTTATAGCAATGCAAAAATGGACTGACAAACCCATTAACTGGCTGATGTGGATCCTGAAGGCCTGTGGCCCTGGTGCTAAGGGGTGCTGAGCCTGGGTGGGCCTAGCCCCTTGACGGAGCGGAAGGGAGGGGTGAGGCCTGGCCTAGAGGAGGGGCCCGGTGAACTGAGGTAGTGAATAACCACAAACAGAAATATTAGAAACACTCTCATACCTCAGGATTGGCAGGAGCTATTCTCTGCTTCCAGTGAGAGCCAAAGTTAGGTATGAGGACAGCAGGAGGGTGCAGGCTGGAAATAAGGAGAACTTTATTCATTAGGGAGAGCCCTGGGTGTCCTGCCACTCAGCGGCAAACCCAGATGGACCTGAAGAAAGAAGGCGGTTCTTTCTTCAAAGGACAAGGGTGTCCTGTGGCAGTTTTCCCCAGTCCAGACTGGTCCCACCCCGGTTCCCAGAAAGAGAGAGATCTCTGAGTTCACTTGGGGCTGTGCGTGTTGAACCAGGAAGGGCTCAGGAGGAGGCAGAGATGAGGTGGCTGTGCCCACTGGTCAGGGCTCTGTGGGAGACAGTGACTGAGGGAGAATGACCAGGGGACCCGGGGGCACTGCGCAGGGAAGTGCTCTCCTGGTGGCAGAAGCACAGTGCCAGCAAACAGTCCATCTGGTCTGTGGCAAGTGTCAAAGTCCCCCACACTTTTAGTCCCTTCCAGTGAGCAGGGTCTCCTGACTAGTTCTGTCTAGAAAATATGGGCAGAGATTACGTCACTTCCGGGCTGTGCAGTGAAAGCCCCACAGGTGCTTCTTTTGACTCCTCCCTTCCCTACCATGGGGGCTGAGGAGGCTGTGGGTTCCATATGGGGCTCCTACAAGGTGTGGAGCCCCCACCCATGTCAGTGACCTCACTGCATCTTATAGGACATATAGTTTTATTAATATACAAACTCCCTTTATTCTAGGTCCCTCAATTTCGTTGTTTGTTGCCGCAGGATGACCTAATTCACTTCTCGTCCTATCCTGTCCTATTCTATCCTAATTAGTTCCCCTCCTAGAAGGTAAGGCAAAGAGAGACAATCGTCATCTTTGCCTTAGTTATGTATTAGTTATGTATTATGTAGAGTAACAGAGCTGCTACTCTAGAATTAGTGGGTTAACGCAACACGGGGTCTGGTCTCACAGTTTAGGGAGATCGGCATCCAGGTGTGGTTCAGCTGGGTCCTGTCACTCAGGTTCACAGAGACTGGAATGAAGGTGTTGGCTGAGGCTGCCCCCAGCTCCCTGCCATGTGGGCCTCTCCACAGAGCAGCTCACAGCGTGGTAGCTGACTTCATCAGCCTGAGCAGGAGAGAGTGACGGAGACAGAGGGTGTGAGCCAGACAGAAGGGACATTCCATCACTTTTGCTGCATTTGCAAGTAATCAGTGCCGCCCATACTCCAGGGGAGGGCATTCCACAGGGCTGTGCACACAGTGGGGAGGCGTCCTTGGGAGCCACGTTAGAAGCTGCCTCCTGCAGTTATGCACTTAGCATATGTCAGAAAATGTGCCAGGTGCTTTTGATCTAGGATCTCATTTGATCCTTACTGTCATGATGGGGCAGGTAAGAAAACTGAAGATCTAGATGATTGTTTTGCCAATCTCTGGGACCAAAATGAAAAAAAAAAGAACAGTGAGGATCGGGGTGTTCAGGAACCTGCTCAAGATCACACTCCACTAGAACCAGAACTTGAGCCAGAATCGCTTCAAATTTCTTACACTTGGAAGCCCTCCCAGAATCGAGAAAGGATTTGGGATGGATTTCTAGGACTCTGAACCACAGGTCTGTGTTTCTCTCATTTGTTCTTGATGAGAAGATACTGATGGTTTTTGTCTCCATGCCCTAGGTGTCTGCAGCTCTGCAGCCAACACTTCCGGAGCGCATGGCTCTGCTGTGAAGGATTCTGAAAACCACATTTATCTGAAGCGCATCCGAGGAGGTTCTGTCTTGTTTAATGTGACCGAGAAGCCCATGGCAGATGCAGGAGCCAAAATACAGGAGGTTTTATGGGGTTTGGGCACTCCGTCAAAGTACATGCGGCTGCTGCAAGTCCGTAGAGGAGCCGACTCTCCCACCTGGTTTAACCTCCAGGACAAGTTCAAGCAGAGGGTCCATGTGCCCAGCCTGTGGTCTCTGAGGATTGAGAACCTGGCCCCTGAAGACAGTGGGCCATACGTGGCCATGACCAGCTTAACTGATGGACAAACGCTTGGTCACGTTTTCTACCTGACTGTCTATGGTGAGTGACACGCTCCCTCCATCCTCTGGCTTCCCTGCCTTTTTTTGTCTCTAGAGAGTCACTTAGGCCCCTGCAGGGTTGCATTCAAACACTAGCCTTCAGACTCGATTTTCTCCACCAAAAATAAGGCACATGAGGTCCCCAGAATAGACAGGAGAGCTGAGATTCAGACCAGAGAATGAAGTTCTCTCAGCGTTTTGGGAGAGGAAATGGAAATTCAGCTAAATAGCCATTTTCCCAGGAAGATTAATCATATGTAGGATGATTTGCATAGCAGTATTTTATTTCAGATGTAACAAATTTCCAAAAATTATTGGCTGAAAGCAAGACAAATTCATTATCTCACTGTGCTATAGGCCAGAGGTCTGACACAGTCTCTGTGAACTAAAATGAAGATGGGCTGTGTTCTTTCTGGGGTCTCCAGGGAAGAGCCGGTTCTTTTTCCTTCTTCACCTGCTAGTGGCTGCCGGCATCCCACGGCTTGTGGCCATCGTCCTGTATCTTTTAACAGAACACTGATGTTAGTGTCCTACTAGGAGTGTCGGGATAATCTCCCTATTTTAGGTCAGCTGATTAGGAACCTTAATTCTATCTGTGACCTTACTTCCCCTTGCCTCGCAGCCTCACCTATTCCCAGGTTACCAGGACTGGGTCCTAGACATTTTGGAGGCCACTGTTCTGCCTCCACAGTTGGGAATCCCGTGAATGAGTCCTCCCAGTCTGCTCTCTTCTCACTCAGCCCCAGCCCGAGGCCAGCCTGTCACATAAGCCACCACACATCCACATCTCACAGGCTTTATAGGTGTAGGGGAAAGTTTTCACTGCAACACGTCTTAGGAAAGTCATTTGTCAACTCTTTCTTTCCCTAAAGTTCCTCTCAGACAAAGGGCTAATATCCAGAATCTACAAAGAACTAAAACAGATTTACAAGAAAACCAGATAAGCCCATTCAAAAGTGGGTGAAGGGTATGAGCAGACACTTTACAAAAGAAGACATACATGAGGCCAAGAAACATATGAAAAAATCATCACTGGTCATCAGAGAGATGCAAATCAAAACCACATTGAGATACCATCTCACGCCAGTTAGAATGGCAATCATTAAAAAATCTGGAGACAATAAATGCTGGAGAGGATGTGGAGAAAAAGGAACACTTTTACACTGTTGGTGGGAGTGTAAATTAGTTCAAGCATTGTGGAAGACAGTGTGGCAATTCCTCCAGGATATAGAAATAGAAATTCCATTTGACCCAGCAATCCCATTACTGGGTATATATTCAAAGGATTATAAATTGTTCTACTATAAGGACACATGCACACGAATGTTCATTGCAGCACTGTTTACAATAGCAAAGACCTGGAACCAACCCAAATGCCCATCGATGATAGACTGGACAGGGAAAATGTGGCACATATACACCATGGAATACTATGCAGCCATAAAAAACGATGAGTTCGTGTCCTTTGCAGGGACATGGATGAACCTGGAAACCATCATTCTCAGCAAACTGACACAAGAACAGAAAATTAAACACCGCATGTTCTTACTCATAGGCGGGTGTTGAACAATGAGAACACATGGACACAGGGAGGGGAGCATCACACACTGGGGTCTGTCGGGGGAAATAGGGGAGGGACAGTGGGGTGTGGGGAGTTGGGGAGAGATAGTATGGGGAGAAATGCCGGATATAGGTGATGGGGAGGAAGGCAGCAAATCACACTGCCATGTGTGTACCTATGCAACAGTCTTGCATGTTCTTCACATGTACCCCAAAACCTAAAATGCAATAAAAAAAAAAAGTTCCTCTCTGCACAGGGAAATATCCTGCCATGGAGAGAGGGATTTTTGCAGCTTTAAGTCCCATGTGATTTCTCAGGCTGGCCTCTGAGTCTGACTCTTCTGTCTGCACCACAGATTCAGTGCACTCTCTAAGCACACTCAGAGTCGTTGACCACAGATTCAGTGCACTCTCTAAGCACACTCAGAGTCATTGACCACAGGTTCAGTGCACTCTCTAAGCACACTCAGAGTCGTTGACCACAGGTTCAGTGCACTCTCTAAGCACACTCAGAGTCGTTGACCACAGGTTCAGTGCACTCTCTAAGCACACTCAGAGTTGTTGACCACAGGTCCAGTGCACTCTCTAAGCACACTCAGAGTCGTTGACCACAGGTTCAGTGCACTCTCTAAGCACACTCAGAGTCGTTGACCACAGATTCAGTGCACTCTCTAAGCACACTCAGAGTCGTTGACCACAGGTTCAGTGCACTCTCTAAGCACACTCAGAGTCATTGACCACAGGTTCAGTGCACTCTCTAAGCACACTCAGAGTCGTTGACCACAGGTTCAGTGCACTCTCTAAGCACACTCAGAGTCATTGACCACAGGTTCAGTGCACTCTCTAAGCACACTCAGAGTCGTTGACTACAGGTTCAGTGCACTCTCTAAGCACACTCAGAGTCGTTGACCACAGGTTCAGTGCACTCTCTAAGCACACTCAGAGTCGTTGACCACAGGTTCAGCGCACTCTCTAAGCACACTCAGAGTCGACCACAGATTCAGTGCACTCTCTAAGCACACTCAGAGTCGTTGACCACAGGTTCAGTGCACTCTCTAAGCACACTCAGAGTCGTTGTTCCCAGGCCCTATCACTGCATCTCTCACAGACGTGTGTACTTTTCTGATCAGGGACCTTTCTCTGTCCTTCCAGAGCTGGCCTAATGTCCTGCCCCATAAAGGCTGTGCAGTCCCAGGCATGGCCTCAGCTGGAGATGCGGGAGAAGAACACTGGGCCAGCGCGAGCCCATCGTCCCCAGACCTCTTCCTCTTCCTGAAAAGACCTCAGTTTTCTGAAAATGCTGTGTTTTGGGAAGGGGGACTTTCTTCTTTATTTTCCTTAGGACAGTTTTAAGACCTATTTAATCTAGAGAACCAACATGGAGCTGAACTCTGTGGTTTCCCTCCTTGTGTCATTAGCTCTGTATTTAGCTTTGGGCAAGCAGTGTTTTATCTGTAGAATACACACACTTCCATGCTGTGGCTGCAATGAGAAAATAATGAGGAATTGTGATGTACAATGTTCTCCATGCATGTGAGATTCCCCTCTTTTGTCTCCTTCTGCCCCAGAGCCTGTGCCTCACCCTGAGATCCTGGCCAAGTCACTGTCTATCACACCAGGCCTGTGTAACATCACTCTGGAGTGTAGGGTTCCAGGGGCCACCCAGGATCTGAATGTGACTTGGGAGAGCAAGGGCCTCTTCAGAGAGCTGGAACAGAGAGACACACCAGGATCAACCGCCAAGCTTTGGACCCTGGCTGTGAGCCTGCCCCTGAGCCAGCAGATTGGCGATGTCACCTGTGTGGTCAGCAACCAGGTGGATCAGAAAGCTGCGACCTTAGACCTTGGAAAAGTCTGTGCCCAAGGTGAGTGGTGAGTATAGCCTGCAAGATAGGAGGGGCTGTCTGAGCTCAGGTAGCACCGGGGTCTGACAGTTCTGGGATCTCTCCCCACCATGAGCATCAGCACCACCTTCTACCTGCTCACATGCACAGCACTGTGGGAGTCACCTCCACGTCGTTTTGCTCGAACCATCTCTTCCATTTATACCCCCTCGGCACACCCCCAACATGTCCCTGTTGATTCAGACAGCATCCTTTCAGGAGCTCTCCCACCCCATCCATCCTCCACTGAACATCCAGAGTGGCTTTGGGAAAAGCAGGTTGGGTTGGATGGTTTTGTGTGTCATCTGTGGGATTTGGCCTCTAGTTCCTCCCCCATGGAATCCAGGGCTCAGATCCTCTGCCCAGGTGTCTAGCCCCACCTATGCACTTCACACCAAACTGCTTGCTTATATTTTCCAACATATGTCCTGTTCCTTTAAAGCTTCTCAGCTTCGGAACATGATAATTCTTACTCCATAAGTCCTCCCACTCCAAGTGTCCAGCTCTTCCCTTTTTATTTTTTTTTCTAAGCATTCCTTTCATCCATGGCCATTTCACAGGCATAAGACTGATGCAGCCACACAGGGTCCCTCGTGTAGCAGCATTCTACAATTGGTTAAAATACTGCCATTGTTGCCTGGAAGTTTTTATTTATTTATTTATTTATTTTCGCTCTTGTTACCGAGGCTGGAGTGCAATGGCGCGATCTCGGCTCACTGCAACCTTCGCCTCCTGGGTTCAGGCAATTCTCTTGCCTCAGCCTCCTGAGTAGCTGGGATTACAGGCATGCATCATCATGCCCAGCTAATTTTTTGTGTTTTTTAGTAGAGATGGGGTTTCACCATGTTGACCAGGATGGTCTCGATTTCTTGACCTCATGATCCACCCGCCTCGGCCTCCGAAAGTGCTGGGATTACAGGCGTGAGCCATCGCGCCTGGCAGAAGTTTTTAGTTTTTAATCAAGGGAATTTGAATTTGCATTACACAGTGCCCTGAAAATGATGTATGTTTCTGCAGTCAGGCCCACCTCCTGAGGGAGCTGTCCATGGCACCCCACACTGAGCAGTATGATGTGCTGCCCTGTAGACTGCAACACCTTGATGTTTTCCTTTGAATCCCTGTGCCAAGCACAGCTCCTGGCAACATATGCCCATGATCAGTGTTCACTAAATGAATGAATGACCTGATATGCTCTGTGCAGCCCGGTCCTCTCCAAATCTTCCTCCAAGAGCTGCTGGGTGCATCTGAAGTGTCAGCATCCCTTCGAAGCACTCTGATCCCCTCATCCAAAAGTGTTAAGCATTATCTTGACCACAGGCCCTCTGGGCACAGACTCCTGTCTCCCGCTGACTCTCCTTTCCACAGCTTCTCCCTGCACTGTCCATCTCGCTGCAGTGGGGTGCTGGCAACTCCTAGAGCTGGTGTCTTGACACAGCCATTTCGGGACCTTGGAGCTCGTCCTTTCAGGAATGCCCTACCCTGAATATCTGAGAAATTCCTACTCAAGCCTCAAAACTCAGTTTAGCCAGCACCTCCTCTGGTAGGCCCTCCCTGAAGACCTTGTACAAGGTGGAAACCTCTATTGCAGCTCTGATCCCTCTGTCTGGCAACTGGTATTTTCTGTCTTCCCTCCTGTGTGCTGGGCTGCTAAGGACACTGTCTTGTGCATCTCAGCATCCCTGGCACCAAGCAGCAGCTCCTAACTGGTTGAATGAATGGACCTGCCAGGCTCCTCCCTCTGCAGCATCAGCACCAGGTCCCTTTCCACTGCTCCACCTGCTTTCTCCCGCTGTCTCTCCTTTGGCAACTGGTGTTTCATATTATCTCCTGTCTTCACATTTTCCACTCTCCCCATGTGACAGGAACAAGTACACAAAAACAGGACATGATTAGACTGCTGCCAGGCATCCTAGCAGCTGCTGTGGGTGTCCCGTTGGTCCTGGGAACTGGGTTGTTCCTTTTGAAGACATGTCAGAAGAAGAAGAAGACAACAATGGAAATAAAAAGGGGTAAGTTGCGTTTCTCCTGACATGCCCAGACACCTCCCTTCCCTCACTAGAACCTCAGCTTCCTTTTTCTGAGTTTTGCTCCCAGGGAGTGGACTCTGCTGAGGGAATGATGGGCATGGCCTTGGCCTTGTGGTTCATGGCAGTGGGGAGGGCTACAGGTTTGTAAGACACAGATTCGAGCTTTGATTTTGTCAGGTGGAGGATTGCAGAAGAACCATGGGGTTGATGATGGTGGCATCTCCTTTGAGACGCTCAGCCAGCAAGTGTCTCGGAAGGGCAAGGGCAAGGTGAGTGCCGGGACACTGGCCACCCTGGGAACTCCCAGGTCTCTCTGCCCAGCCTTGGGCTTCCAATTCCAGGACCTGTCACTTCTGGTCCAACTGCCTATTTATCTATATCTGGACGATCAACAGTATTGACTAAGAAAATTTACATCTGGGTGGATGTAGTGCTGGGCACTTTAGAGGAATTCATAAGCAGTGCATGGCAGTGGGTACTGGCCCTGCGGGTCCCTGCAGATTCATTCCATCCTTCAGCTGATCCAGCAACCTTTGTGTTGTATTTCAGAGCATCGGTGAACAATATCTGGGAAAAAAGGAATCTGTCACTACTATCTATAGTGAGGTCTGTTATCCAGACCAGACGATGGAGATCATTTGATTGAAGGAAGCAGGAGGATCTGGCACTCCCAGGACACCTGCACTCTGAGCCTAAGTCCTGCAGACCCCTGCCTTTCCCAGCTCTGGTTCCGTTCCAGCTTCCCATGTGTGTGTTACTCTGACCTCATAGCTACATTTCCAGAGGGTACACATGGCCTGGTTGTACTCTGTGACACTTCCCCAAGCTGCCCTTACACTCGGGCAAGGACTATTCTCCGTCATTGAGATGGCTGCTGACCCCTGTCCTTCATAAGCCTTCCCAAGAGGAGCCTGTCTGATTGAGCACGTAGCAAATTCCCACCACCTCTGCCTTGTCACTGGTGTGAGTACTTCTGAGGACACAAGCCCAGACATGGGGACTGTGCAGAAGTGCTGACTGTGCTGCAGAGGAGGGTGGTGGCACCTGGCTTTTGGATGCTGAGTTGGAGGACAGTGTGTGTGGAGAGAAACCAATAAAGGAAAAGGCCAAGGCAAATTTGTGTAGGGGTGTCTTGAGGGTATCGGGCAGTGTGTGTGCATGCATGTTGGGGGGATTGCCTAGTGCACATTATCCACCTGAACCAAAGCCACCTTTCTTATCACCTCTGCTATTCTGAACCTATTTTCAGCCAGGCCTGTGGATTCAAACTCAACTTTTTGTGCAGTGGAAATAGAAATGTGTGTCATCTCAAAACCTCAACCGCAGTCTCAGGGAATGACATTAAGAGGCCACATTTGGGGGATGTCTTAGGAAAACAGCCTCAGCTCTTCTCGTCTTCTAAGTATAGCACACTTGGTTGTAAGAATAGATGCGTGGTATCGTTCCACAGCCCCTTGGTGAGGGTACTTGGGCTCTGATGGGTGAAGCTATTGAGAAGATCTGACTCAGCCCTCTGGAGCTTCTTCTCATTCTGACCCTCAGTGCCCCACAGCCACGCTGGCCCCAAACTCTTGGTCAACCACTGCTTGGCTCACTTTCATCCCTCTGCCTGAAATGAAAGTTTCCTCTGAGTGTCCCTCGCCCTCACCCCTGCCTGTTGAAATCCTAGTGTGCTGCTCAAAGCTCTTCAGAGATGCTTGTTCTATGAGCTTTATGAGTCTTAAAAGTTTAAAAATGATGTCTTCCATATCTGACTTTTCTGAATACCTTGTACACGATGTATGGTCCCTGCTACCATTTGCCTTGGGTTGGTCGTGGGTCCTCCTACGGTACTAACCTGGGCTCTCTCAGGAGGGTGTGGGGCTGAGCGGGAAAAGGCTCAAGACAGGCAACTCTTGATGCCAATGTGAGGACACAACTGTTCCCTCTTCTGCCATGTGAGAACACAGTGCTCCTCCTTCCACCATGTGAAAACAAGGTGTTCCCTTCTCTTCCACCATGTGAGAAGACCCTCTTCCCCACTTCCACCATGTGAGGACATGGTATTCCTCCTTCTACCATATGAGGACATAGTGTTCCTGACTTAAATCATGTGAGGACACAGTATTGCCCATTCCACCATGTGAGGACACAGTGTTTCTGGCTTCCATAATGTGAAGACATGGCGTTCCCACCTTCCATCATGTAACGGCACTGTGTTCCCACCTTCCATCATGTAACGGCACTGTGTTCCCACCTTCCATCATGTAACGGCACTGTGTTCCCACCTTCCATCATGTGAGGACTTCATGTTCTCCCCTTTCACCACTGAGTGCATTGTGTTTCCCCCTCTGCCATGTGATGATGCCACAATAAGATGCCATCTGTGGAGCTGAAGCTGAGCTGAAGAGACATTGGATCAGGCTTACCAGATGCTGAATATGGTGGCGCCTTGATATTAGACATCTCAGTCTCCACAGTATGAGGAATAAATTTCTGTTATCTACACATCACCCAGTGATTTACACATCTCAGGTATTTTGTTATAGTAACGAAATAGACTAAGGCACCCTTGGAATTTTGGAATATAGAAGTATCCTCCTGTTGTCAATCTCCCAAAGATCCTGGCCTCCTGACTCATGAGCCTCAACTCAGGCTGAGCTCCTTGGTGCTGGAAAAACTAATGATTCAAAGAGAAATTGCCCCTTGAGTGGCAGTAGAGCCCTGCTTGGGCAGAAGACAGGGAATAAGGGACATTGCACTCAAATGTAGATGAGACATTCAGAGTGGTCTTTATCCAAATTTTCCCCATTCATGGTCGATGTCAGACCATGTCATCATCCACATCCTCAATTAACCTTCCGCTGATGAAAGTTTTCTTCATAAAGTCATTCAGTATGTGACATGGCAAAAGCCCCATAAAACTGCCCACCTCAACCATACCCCGGATTTCTATTGAAACTGCTTTCTGTAACCCAAATGCGTCAGGCAAGCAGTCCAAACCCATTCCATCTTGGCCCCTGTGACTCATAATAAGTAATTAAGGACTGTAATTTCCACCCTACTCAGACAATGCATAAACAAATGCTAATCTTGACTTTTGTGAACCACTTCAGTAACAATCAGAATGTCAAACGTCCCCTGGACCTTGGAATGTCCGGAGCCCCTCACCCTCATCACCGCCCAGGAGGTGATTTACAGACTCCACTGGCCCTCAGAATATCTGAAGCACCTCATCCCCATCCTCACTCCTCACCCTCACCCCCGAGGTGGTTTTAGGGTATAAAAGGTCTTGACACCCTCCTTTCTGGGCCATGGGTTGGAGAGACCCGAGTCCTCCGTGGCTGCCGGAAATAAAGACTCTCCAATTTGGCATACTTTTGTCTTGGTGTTGACTTTTTATGCTCAGGCCAGTACAAGTAGGCTTTACAGGAGTCTCTCACTTAGAGCTTCTACAATTCCATGAGGCATAAACCACCATTGTACACATGGAGAGACTAAAATCCAGGGAAGTACTTCATGCAATTTCTCTTCAGTGTCAGTCATGATTTGCATCCAAATAAACCATAATTTTGCTCATCTTTTACTCCTTCTTATTCACTCCAGATGCCCAACGAGCCAGTATGTTCCATTGGGTTATCTGTCATGAAGTGTCTTGTATGGCATCTCCCTCTCATCATTTCATTTTTACTTTTCACCTTCACCTTCGTCATTTTTACCCTCCAGCAGCAATGTGGGAGGACATCTCCACATCCTCCCCAAGTCTTGCTATTGTTCCTTTCTTTGATTATTGCCTTCTGAGTGTGTGTGAGGTGGTAACTCATTGTGCTGGTGATTTTCATTTCCCAAATGACTCATGTTGCTGAACAAGATGAGGGTTCAATCAATATAACCACAGAAAAATTAGATTTTTACTGGACAAGATTCTTAGGAAAACAGTTAAAAGGAAAAAGCAAACAAAACAAAAATGTAAACGTTTGGCACCTTCATGACGGCAGCTCACTCCTCTAACTGTTGAGAGATAGAGTGTGTGTCCAATCCCCCCACTCTCACTGAAAGTAGAGGCTATTCATGTGGTTGGATTACAGCATATACTTTCCAGCTGCTGCAGTTTACTTGCGGGTTCTAAGAAAAACATATGGATTTGGCCATTTCTCTCTTATTCTCACAGCTTGGTATCCTGTCTCCCATACATGCAGGTCCTGAACTCCAGTTTGTTCTTCAGAAGCAGGGCCTCATAGACATTAGGTATATTGAATTGAATACGTTGGGGTAGAACAAAAGAAGGGCTAATTTTAAATTAAATGAAAGTAAACACCCAGTTTCTTATTTATGTTAGTCACATGCTAAATATACAGTTGGCTTGTGATTACCTTCTTGGGAAGCACAAATACAGAACATTTCTATCATTATTGAAAATGCTATTGAACGGTTCTGTGTTAGGTTATGTTACTGGGTGAATTTTTTTCTTTTCTTTTTTTGCATTAAAAACATTTTGTTCTCTTTAGTTTGTGGTAGAAAACACTCAATCTGAGTTGGAAAAATCTGGAGCTGTTTTGTTAGCTCGGCATTTAAGAGCTTCTTGATCACGTTTTTTGCCCACTTTTAAATAGAGTCGTTTGTTTGTTTGTTGATTTGTAAATTTGTTTAAGTTCCTTATAGAAGCTGGATGTTAGACCTTTGTCAGATGCACCGTTTGCAAAATTTTCCTTCTATTCTGTAGGTTGTCTGTTTATTCCGTTAGTAGTTTCTTTTGCTGTGCAGAAGCTCTTTAGTATAATTAGATCCCATTTGTCAATTTTTGTTTTGTTTCCATTGCTTTTGGCGTCTTTGTCATAAAATCTTTGTCCGTGCCTATGTCCTGAATGGTATTTCCTAGGTTGTCTTCTAGGGTTTTTATACTTTTGGGTTTTACATTTACGTCTTTGATCGATCTTGAATGAATTTTTGTATATGGTAAAAGGAGGGGGTCCTGTTTCAATATTCTGCAATTGGGCTAGTCTGTTTTCCCAGCACCATTTATTGAATACAGAGTCCCTTCTCCATGGCTTGTTTCTGTCAGGTGTGTTTGAAGATCAGACAGTTGTAGGTGTGCAGTCTTATACCACAATATTTTGGTTATTAAAGCCTTGTAGTATAGTTTGAAGAAGGGAAGCATGATGTCTCCAGCTTAGTTCTTTTTGCTTAGCATTGCCTTAGCTATTGAGGGTCTTTTTTACTTCTTTAAAATAAAAGTTAACAAAAAAGCTGTTTGACTTTGACTATATCCTCAGTTGTAAAAGCAACTCGAGTTGTGGAGTCTCTTTCTCTCTGTTTTGAAAGTTAGAAATAATACATTATACCTTATATAGTGGTCAAAAGAAAGAAAGAGAAAAATAGAAAGAAGAGAAAAAGAAAGAAAGAAGCAGAAGAAAGCAAGAAAGAGAAAAAGAAAGAAAGAAAAGAAAGCAAGAAAGAAAAAGAAAGAAAGAAGAAAGAAAGAGAGAGAGAGAGAGAGAGAGAAACATCTGTGTTGAGCTGAGCTCATCCTGGTGCAATGGGGAAGCACAGGAAGAGGCAGCAGCAGTCGGAGAAGCCAGCTCAGGTGCACACAGCCCTGCAAGGCTGAGTCTGTGTCTGGACTGGGGAGGGCAGGGTGGGAGGTTTGTGAAATTGACAGTAGTGTGGGCTGCCACTTTCCACAGATGATGAGGTGGGAAGCATGGGTAAATGCCGTCTCTCAGTTAAGTTGACTTGAACCTGATACTGCCCACTGTCTTCAGCGGTCAGGTTCTCAATCCTCATGGATGACATGCTGGGTACATGGACCCTCTGCTTGAAATGATCCTGAAGGCTGAACCAGGTTGGACAGTTGGTCCCCCTGGGGACTTGCAGCGTGACTCTGTAGTCTGACTCAGGTCCACTGCCAGACAAGACCTCCAGCTCGGATCCTGGAGCTATGCCTGGCTTTTTTCGATCACATGAAACAAGACAAAACCTCCTTGGATTCACTTCAAATGACCTGGGATTCAGAATCCTTCACTGCAGCAGAGCTCCAGTTCCAGGGCAATGGAAACAGTAAACAGGAATATTTGCTCACTGAAAACAAATGAGAGAATGACAGAACTTTCCAATTTAAATGGCATCCACTACTTCTA